CACACAAAGCATTCTAGGTAAATGATGATGTGGATAGGTCCTCGGTGTGAGTGAGCTATATCCACCCTGAAGGTTAATCTAGCAATATCTTATGATTGACTCTTTTAAATGAAACCAGAGAGCGTTGGCAGAGAGGAGAAGGTAGAAACGATTCAGCCTGTAACTTAAAATATGGATGGAGGACAACAGAGCTGCTTCATGGAAGAAGAACCTCAGCTTAGCCTGCTAGCCTTTGTGCTAGCGTCGGGACGGCATCGGCACCAGCGCGACAAACAAGCTAAACTGAGGTCCTCCATCCATATTTTCAGTTGCAGGCTGAGTCTTTTTTGCGTGGAGGACCTCAGTGACTAGAGGAGAACGTGTAGCGCTGAGCTAATACATATCTATAGTGATGGTATCGGGGCTAACACTAAAGCTAACAGGCTAAGCTGGGGTTCTTCTTCCATGAAGCAGCTCTGTTGTCCTCCATCCTCATTTTCAGTTGCAGGTAACCCCGGATTTACACTACACGCGTCTCCGCTGTGCTGTGCTGCGCAGTTCGCAGCTGTTCATTTGTGCCCCAATTTATACAGCCTCCACTGCGCTCAGCTCGGCCCCGGTCCGACACACAGCAGGAATGAGATTGCGCGATAAATCTAGTGATGAAACTGGAAGTCAGAGCAAAAAATAATTAATTCTGTGAAAGACGAACTCCAAACACAGCTGAAAACCTTGATATAAAAGCTTTTGATATCTAAGGTCGTAACTGTATCACTGTCGTCTTTTTGAAAGTCCTGATGTCAAATTAAAATCCACGTGTATCGTGTGTGTACACATATGCTACGTTTCCATCCGCTTCCCAAACAGAACGATACATTCTGACAGCATTTGTRTAGAAATATATCCATATATTGATTAATATGAATGCAATTTCAACATTATTCCAATAAATTATCCCGCCTAATAGTGTTTTATTTTGAAAATACGAATGTTGTGCTTGTTTCTCTTCCTGTTGGTGTGACGTAAAATTTAAAAATTGACTCTGGCACAGCTCCGGCGTCCGGCAAAAATAGGATCTGTTCTAATTTTGCCAGATTGCCGTCTGCTCACCGCCGCCGTGCACAGCAAGTGCAAACACTCTCATTGATTATAATGGGTGCATCTGGTTTCATTTAAAAGAGCCGATCATCAGATATTGTCCAAGATTAACCTTCAGGGTGGATATAGCTCGCTCACACCAAGGACCTATCCAYGWCAWCATTTACCCAGAATGCTTTGCGTGTAAATAAAATGGCCCTGACCGTGTAATATATTTTTTAACTTTTAGTTTAAAAATAATAAAAACTGAACATCCTTCAGTATTTTTACAGTCTTTATTTTACAGTTAAAATATATGTTTATTATGATTCCCACACGCGAAGTGTAAGTGGGAGTCATATTGTTTTTGTACTGTTTTTATTTTTTTCAGTGATTTTTGGTGAACCATAGCACAAAAACGGCAACACCAATCAAAATGAAATTWGGCAGGACTGTAGATGAGTCCGACCTACACTGTTSCAGCCAACCCCAATTTATCTGAAAAAAARGGG